CGCCGAAAGGGCAACTACCGGCGGCTGTTTCGGATCATGCGCCGATTTCCCGAGCAATGTACATGGTTTTCTGAAAATGTTATGTTGGCTATCTTCGTTAGATAGTGATCGTACTGATTATAACGTTCATGAAGGTTGTTGGATAATTTTGTTTCTTATAAAGTATCGCTTATGGAGGCTTAGTTAGGCTTCCTTCAGATGGTTCTGAAATGTATTCAAGAGAGTATTATCTGTAGCATACTAATAATCTGTGGTCATTATGGAGCTAATTGTTTCCAAGGCCCACATGCAATCTCTCTATTTCAACTGGATTACAGTCGATATCCCACAGCATCCCGAGCATGTGAAGGCCGTCCTTTCCACTCTGAACGTCCAATATAGAGGAAAGCTGCGATCGACTTAGACGTAAATTCCCTTTTCCATTTGTAGTAATCTGCTGCGAGCTGGTGTTTCCATCGATCCTAAATACACGCCCTTAATACGGCCCTCAACCTAACGCGATATATCGCCTCGGAGTGCCCTTTGCCTCACCGACCAAGTCTGCTAAATGCCCTACATCTTGTAAACTTGATCCAATCAGATATGATCCATTTAGTACGGTCAAACTGCATTTTTTGAATAATAAATGGCATTTGTAAGACCAGTTACTAAGAAATCGTAGTTAAAATGCGATGACAAATTTCTTCTACTTACTACACTAACACCCATAGGACTCAAAAGCACAGACGCGGTAACACAGTATTTTGTAAATCCTCCTTTGCTATTGGTGCCCGACGTTGAAATTGTAATATGCGCTCTCAACAAAAAATGTTTTTAAGTAAATAGACTATTATTGTTTGAATTGATATATAATGTGCTGACTGCTTGTGATATATTATACTAAATGATATAGAAAATGCAACACCGACTAGGAGTGCTATAATTTTGAGCATATTTTTACAAGTTGTAGGTCTACTGATATATAGAAAGTGATTAAAACTTTAACTCGAAATTTCGCAAAATAGCTGAGATATCCCACCTTAATGTTAATCATGTGTTGAAGCTCCTATATTCGCTATTCATTCATTAAGGCGTCGGGGCATTAATTGGATTAGGTGATTGATGTCTTGATGTATGTATCCCAGGCCTCCTCGTATTTCACCCCTTTTTCTGAGGAGTACATATTTTGAGTGCATACAGAAGCAATATACAAAGTTGGGGTTTTCCTTTACACGAAAACATAAGCAATTTTTCTTAGTACCATATACACCAATGTCTTAAGGGAACCGAGATAAAGGGCTCTGCAACATCAAAAATATCTGAATACCGTCCTGTAGCCGCGACCCGCGACATCACCGAGTGGTAAAAGGTCACTGGCTCAACCCGACGACAGAACTGGGTCGAGGTCAGTGTGTCAGGTCAGTATGCAACCTTCAACCGACGGTTACGGTCACGCGTGTAGAGGTAATCGAGTAGGCGAGAATCCCTCAACAAGCACTAGAGACGTGGCTAGAGAAGTGCAAGTATCAAAAACTAAATTGTGGCAAACGCTGCGTGAAGAGGGGCTGTATTCGTTTCACGTCCAACGTGTACAAGCCCTTCAACCTGACGATTTTCCAGCAAGAGTGCGGTTTTGTGAGTGGTTGGTGCATCAACATGACAATAATCCGGACTTTTTGAAGTGCATATTGGTGACAGACGAATCTACGTTCACGCGTAATGGGATGAATAACTTTCGCGACACTCATGTTTGGTCAGTAGAAAATCCGCACGCTGTCCGTCGGACACATTTTCAACAAACATTTTCGGTGAATGTTTGGGCTGGCATGGTGAACGGTATGCTCATTGGACCATTTAATCTTCTAAATCGATTGGACTGGATGCAATACCTAGACTTCTTACGCAACATTTTGCCTTCCTTGTTTGCCTGCGTCTGCTGGGTAGCGCATCAGCTGATTTCATTTTCTGTTGGAGCGGTATGATTTCGGGCAGAGCCGTACTTAGCCCTTCTCGTCAACTGGAGAGTGAGTACTTTTTCCTTTATTTTTTTTTACTTGATCGCCCTCGTTTCACTACACTACACTTTCACTTAAAAACTGCGCTTCAGCACTGGCCCTACCATTAAGCTTGATATTCACATCGTCTTTTAGATCTCATACCCTACCCTCATGCTGGCTTAGTGCTTCTGTTACTCCTGTATTCAAAAAGGGCGACAAATCCTCCGCTAAAAATTATCGACCAATAAGTCTCGTTCCTATCGCCGCCAAAATAGCTGAAAAAATCATATTAGATAAGCTCCAGTCATTTGCTTTCGAAAATGACCTTATCCCTAAGAATCAGCATGGATTTCTCCCTGGTCGATCAATAATGACCAACCTTCTCCACTTTCTCAACGATTGGACTCAGTATCTGGACACAAAGACTCCTGTTGATATAATCTACTTAGATTTTTCTAGGGCTTTCGATCGCGTACCACATTGAAGGCTTCTGTTTAAGTTGGAATGTATGGGAATAAGAGGCGAGTTGTTACTGTGGATTAAGACTTTTCTCACCGGGAGGACTTTCTCTGTGCGTGTCAGTGATAGCCAGTCTCACCCTCATCATGTAGCAAGTGGAGTTCCTCAAGGCTCTGTCTTGGGGCCAGTGCTGTTCCTTCTGTATACCAGTGACCTGCCCGCATTGATTTCCTCCACATGTTCAGCTTATGCCGACGACACCAAGATTTACAATACTGTCGTAAATTCTGCTATGCTTCAACGAGATCTTGATACTGTTTGTCAATGGTCAGTCAGTTGGCTTTTACCCTTAAATCTAACTAAGTGTTGTGTCCTTCACCTCGGGAAGACAAATCCGCGATTTACATACAAGATCTCTGACCACAACATCGAAACAGTTTCGAGCCACACTGATCTGGGCGTTGTAGTCAACGATCGTCTTTCCTGGTCAGAGCATATTCACCACGTTACATCAAAAGCCAAGAAACTTCTATATATGCTGGAGAGGTCTTTCAAAGGATCCGATGTCAACACTTGCGCCTACATTTACAAGGCATTCGTGAGGCCAATTCTTGAATTCGCTGGCCCGGTATGGGACACTGTGCTTCTGCGCGATAGAAATCTCGTCGAATCAGTACAGCGTCGGGCTACTCGTATCCCTTTTGGAGCACGAAGACCAAGCTATGAAGATCGCCTTGAATTATTCAACCTGACCTCATTCTCTGAGCGAAGACTTCGTGGCGATCTTATAGTTACGTTCAGGATACTTCATGGTTTGACAGGCACCAACCTCATGCATCTATACCATCTGTCGCGCAGCAATCTACGCGGACACAGCTTCAAACTGCATAAGGAGCCATTTAAAACAACAGTCCGACAGTGGTTTCTTCCCAACCGCATACTCAACACCTGGAATAGTTTACCTGAAAGTGTGGTTGGTGCTACTTCAGTTAATAGCTTCAAAGTGCAGTATGATAGCTGGAGGAGTGTACAAACTTTATAGCTGTGAACTGTATTTTTTTTATTTTTTTCTATTTGATGTATTTGTGTTACGTGTCCGTACACTATATTTACTGCATGAGCTTATAGTACTGTGTACTCTGCTCATCTCAATTATCATAATAATAATAATAATAATTACCTTTGTTATTTCAAGGGCAGTTGTTTCTGAAAAGGAAAACCCCAACCTGTGTTTTTACTAATTATTTTTATATACGCCAAATACATCAAATGTAACATAATCTACATAAAATGAAGGTTTTAAATTGATTTGAATGTTTCCATCCCTCGTCTGTCCTCTATGTAGTAATAATCGCTAAGAACATCAAGAAAATGTTAGTTCTTTTTCCTAAATCTACCATACTATCGTACTTTATTTATAGGAATCCCAATAACCCAATGGATCAATCTTATAACAGAAAACCTTTTCAAGATTGGAAATGTTATTCTTTATACTCATGTGATTCAGTTATGTCCTTCTTCCATATCCCCCTATCCTTAAATCATGATTATTCATCACGTCGTGCCATACATAAAAAACAATATCTTCATAGCAGGTTTTGATATGAACACTAGTAGAAGGAAAGTTGCGTCATGGTAACCTAATAAAAATGAAAGTTGGAGAGATTAGGAACACTGAATGTATACAAAGAAGATTTTAGACTAATCTTTTTTTCTTGTTTTCAAATATTGTATGGCAGCTCGGAGTATCTACTCGTATATGTCGCGAATTACAACTACGAAAGAATATTATAAAGGTTTTTATGTTTAACATGGCCCAAGTCAAAGAAACAAAAATGTACCACAGCCATGGATTCCTTTTTCTCTGGGTCAACGAGATTACATAATTACTAAAAATACGCGACAATTATCTAGGCGGCGATGATTTCCGATAAAGCTTGATGAGCTTTTCATTTAATTACCTCTAACTCTTTTTGTATTAACGCCGCTTTTAATCGTTCCCAATCAAGCCCAGAATTTTATTACAGGCCGTTAAAGTTATTAAGGGTAAAAATCCAGAAAGGCAATTATTATTTAGCCTGGAATTGCTTCCCGTCGATGTCAGCATGTTCCTCTAATTTGATTAGATTTTTAATGTCTCTCGATTTAATGGATTGTGAAAAATATGGCAGGTCCATTGGCTTATCACAGAACAACACATTTTCAATAAATTGTTAACGTAAACATAGGGGGTCAACTAAGAAACGAAGATACGTAATGCAATGAATATATAGCCCTAAATGATAAGACGTGGATTAAGACGAAGACGAAGATGAAGACGAAGACGGAGACGAAGATGAAGACGAAGATGAAGATGAAGATGAAGATGAAGACGAAGATGAAGACGAAGATGAAGACGAAGATGATGACGAAGATGAAGACGAAGATGAAGACGAAGATGAAGACGAACACTTAGATGAAGACGAATACGAAGACGAAGACGAAGATGTAGAAGAAAAAATAATAGAAGGAAGAAAAAGGAGCAGAAGAGAAAAGAAGGAGTAGGAGAAGAGGAAAAAAAGAAGAATGAGTAGGAGAAGAAGAATAAAAGAACAAAATGGAAAAGAAAAAATTCTAGTATGTAATGACACTTACGTAAGTTTCAATGAGATCACTCCTATGTGGTACAAAGTAGTTGTGGTCCTCCATTTCCCTCCGTTTCTTGACTCTGACGAAATGTTCGGTGGGATTGAGTCCTTTTCTAGCACAGGCGCTGGCGAGGAATTCCTCCACAGACATGGATTCGCGAACGTAGACAGTTGCGTAGGCGTTTTCTGGCAGAGCCACCTTCACTGTCTTCTCAGATTCGTCTCTTGAGTTGATCTGAAACAATCATTGAATCATTTCTTTATTTTAATATTTTTGCAGCAGAACTGGAATACTCCAAGGAGAAAGGAAAGGGCGCATCGCCCAGTTCTCGATGTTTAGAGTTTGACGATGATAACCATATGGTGAGTCTAGTGTTGCAGTCTAACAGGTCTAGAATACGACGACTCTGTTCCCTTCGCAAATGCTTGTTTGTCGGATGTCGTTGACAGTAAGTCAAGTGACCTCAGTAGGCAGTTTTAGCAAAATATTAAGTTCTCTTCGGAAGTTATGTTCATTTGTGACAAGTATTACAACCTTTATGCAATGAAATTCATGCACAGGATTCGTCAACATACACTTAAAAACAATCAATAAATAAAAATATATAATAATATATCAAAAACGAACAACATAACAATTACAAACAAACTCTGACAAGCTTTAATAACATTTAGATACAAGGAATTCTTTCAAATATTCAAATTAGTTTTAAAGCGAATAATATTGGAACATTCCTTAATGTCATGTGTTAGCTTGTATCGGGCGATTTAATTCCAACATTGTATTTGACAAAAGCCACATTCAAGTCACTAACCTATCTGGCTGTATAAAATTTATCCATTAAAAACGTACCTCCGTGGTTAAAAACTTACATTGATAGTTCCTATAAAGCCAATAAGGGTAGCGTTAAAATGTTTAGTCGTCTACACATATCCTTACACGAATATAATCTGTTTACCCACAATGCATTTAACTGCTGATTTGTTTGAGAATTACCTTTGAGACTAGATTCTCACAATGTTCTTTGAACTTCAGGCTTTCATCAATACTTAATCCCAAATACTTTACTTGTCTTCCAACTGGTGTTTTTGGGTTATCTACATTGATGTTAAATTTTTCTGTTATTTTCCTGAACGTTGTGTAACCTCACAAGCGATGTCTTTGCTGTTTTTTTATTGTTTAAGTTATGGACTGTCCGCAAAAAAGGAGCCGTCAAAATATTATAGCAGTTGTTGGAGAATGCGCAGGTATTTTTGATATTGGCAGACGCTGGTGTCGTGGTGTTATGTGGAAAGATATCTTGAGAAAACCAACTTGACGGAAAGCTATTTGTAACAATATGAGCTGACCAAAATATCACAAAGGTGCATGTGGTGTTTTAAGACGGACATGTACACTTGCAATGACTTATTATGCAAACTGAATCCAAAAATTGCGAGATGCTTTTGAAGAGATACGTTGGGAGAACTCAACCAGTGGCATGGTGCAGTGATACCCACTGTATAGCTATGGATGCTCTACATTAGGCAGGCTTTGGGTTGGTAGATTAGCCACCTCATTCGTCAGTTCTGGCGCCGATGCATTGATTAACTTATTCCACTTGAACGTGCCCAATTAAAATAAGCCTTAAAGAGAATTAAAGATCCCAGCCCCACTTATGAGACAGTAGCAGAAACAGTCTAGCTCTTTTCAAAGTGGAGTTCTGCATTTTTATTTTTGTGTTCTGCTACTGTCTCATTTATGTCACTAGTATCTTCCAGATCCCTTTTTGGTCGCCGGGATAATGATAATTATATTTATTCATTCAATGTACGAAGAAAACAACGTGAGTAAATAAATAAAGCAGGCCCAATAGGAGGCATCGCCTGTGCATGGACCAATCATTTCAAGCTCTAACTGTAGAATAAAAGTTACAAAGAGCAATTGGTTCTCTATTTACCTGATGTTAGAATTTATCAGTTTATGAATTTCAGTCTTAGGTATAGAATGTAACCACTTTTTAAAGTGAAAATATAGATATGCTCGCTGCAATATAGATTTACTGTGACACGAATTTTGTACCTTGTTTAATGATTATGTTTAATGTTTTGGTCGGTGTTGACAAATTTATGCTAGTGAGTGATAGTGTTTAAGATATAGAGCTGTCTTATATCATACATTTGTACATCTGTGTATAATTCGTCAGTGGGATACAGTTTCGTTTTTTTAAGCTCATTTTTAGAATACTTTTGTGAAAAATATGTAAACTATTGATATATGATTAACATGCAGCTCCCCATGCTAATATACCATATGTGAGATCAGTGTAAGGTATAATGTTCTGTAAGTATATTCGCAGGGTATTTAATTTTGTACGATACAAATCTAAGTTTGTTTGAACTATAATTGACATGGATGTTCCACCTAAGTGAGGATCCAATACTATTCCAAGGTATTTTATGTTTTGCCCTCTATTAATTTTCAGTTTTTGACCATTAATGTTGGCAAATGTCTAGCATAAGATGCAAATGGTGAAAAGTGTGTTTCAGAATAGTTAATGGTATTAAACCACCGAATAATTTTGACAAAATCATTGTCCATTGCATTTTTTTAGATCAGACCAGTCATTGCCTTCATATAATATTGCAGTATCGACTGCAAAACTGGTTATGTTGCCAATACAATTAATTTGGAAAATATATTTAAAATATATATTAAACAACAGTAGACCTAAGACTGTTCCTTGAGGGACACACACATGATAAATAATCTGGATATCTGGACAGACTGTGGGCGGTTTGATAGGTAATTTTCGATGAGCGAGTATGCTTTTCCTCTAAAATCAATTATCTCCAATGTTACTAATAATAGTTTGTGATTTACTGTATCGAAAGATTTCTTTGAATCAACAAATTGTAGATAGAAGGAATTTTGTTATCAACATTTTGATGTATTTGATTTACAATTTTAATTATTGCGTCCGATGTAGACTTACTTACCTTCTATAAATCCATCTTGGTTTTCATTTAAAATTGTATATTTTGTGAGGTATCAAACCATTCTAGTAGATAAGACTTTTTAAAAAACTTTTGCTATACTAAATATTTTTGATATTGGTCGATAATTATTAACATCTGTTCTTTTCCTGATTTATGTATCGATATTATATTACTTTTTTTCACAATTCTGTGGCATATGCCGGACTCAAAATATTTGTTAATTGGTAAGTGAGTGGTTCTGTTATGTCCTCGGCTGTAATTTTCAAATACTCGCTTTTAATTCCATCGTACCCAGGGACTATATTTTTTAAGATCATCACAGTGGTAAATACTTGCTCTACTTTATCCAAGATAAATGAGTTCAAAGATCTTGGAAACTGAGTACTGGGCACATTTTCTTGTACGTATATTATTTGCTATATCAGTAAAAATTTGTACAAATTCATCGCATATTTGTTGAGTATTTTTGATTGCTGCTCTCCATGTTGCGTTTAAATCAGTGACACAAGAATCAAATTTTGTTTCTCCAGTAATCTCAAAGCTGTCTAGGATCATTTAAGTTATTATCCAATTTATTTAGTTCGTGTTTCCGTTTTTTTGGCTTGAAAGCTCTCTACATTTATTTTTATACTCGATAATTTCTGTAGTTGGCGTTGGTATCACCACTTTATAGAGCATATCTTTTTCTATTGCCGATGTTGGTAGTCCAGGAATTTCTGCTTTTATCTTCATGATCAATTTTTGCTTTATTAGTACTAACATCTATCAATTTCTCTATTTTCTCTATGTATACTGTTTATGATTAGATATAATATATACTATGAGATAAACTGTGCGATTATTTGCCATGGTCTATTCCACATGAACCTCTAAAAATAAATACACACGCTATTTATTACACGTTAAGGCGGGTATGAGATGTCAAAGCAAAAAATAGAGCTAAGGGATGCCCGTGTCAGGGATATAAAAAACCCATTAGCGTTCTTAGAGTTACGGCTCGTTTAGTTTTACACGGGACCCAATCTCTTGCCTGTGCGAAATTGCGAACGTCTCACGGCAGAACGATTTTGCGCGCTCAAATTAGAGTGTCACATTTTATTTACGCGTTTTGCAATACACCTTGCGATTATAATTATTTGAACGCGTCATCTACATATTCTCTATAGCAGCGGTTTCAAGTTTTCAGAACTACGGAATATTTAGCAAGAACCGTATCACAAGACGACGAAGGAACGGAGTTGTTCCATTGTTTTTATATCCTGCTTCCATAATTAACTTTAGCGCTTTCAATTAACTTCAACTCGAAATGGGTCTAATAATAATACTTTATGGGTTAAAGTCTGCTACTTTTGTTATCTAATTCAGCATTCTAAAATTAAATGCAAAGCAGGATGGACATATTTTGATAGCTTCCTGTTTAATGACAATCGTCGTGGTCATCGGCACATAGACGGTACTGACTATTGAGTTATTGAGGAAATTTCTGCATTTAACTTGAATAAAATATATCTTTGTGACAACTGAGGCCAAATCCAGCACACGCCATTGAGAAATCCTACGGAAATACTAACTTGACTAACTGTCACTTGATCAAGATTAATATTTTCCTTTAGGTTCATCCCACTTCTGAATATGTAGTGCATAAGATGTCAACTAGGGATTCGCAAGATCAAGACGAAGACCAAGACTGCATTTTTTGCAAGACCAAAACCATGTTGCAAGGCTCTTGCGATCTTTCAAAGACTACTTGCCCAAAATATTGACATCCGACAGCCTCTAAATAGAATTTGTTGAATGGTTCTAAAAAGATTTAATGGATTAAGCGAATATTATGGAGATATTAACTTAATATTTGAGAAAAATTATATGTTATAAGAATCTATTTATTTATTTATTTATTTCCAACAGGTGAAACCCAATTACAGGAAATGCTGAAAAAAATAACAATTAAAGAGACATGGTTCTTGGACTTAAATCTATAGTGTCACACATTCTAAATAAGATTGGATGATCTATAGCAGTTAATAATCGATGCACAACTGTCACTGTAAATATCACACGATTCAGTAACACTGTTCATGACGCAGCACATGAGATTAATTGGCGATTTTGTCATAACATTTGTACGGCCAGCTTGACAGTAGAATGCCGTTTGTTGTCGACTCCCTAGCCTTGGAACGCGGAAACATATTTTTTCAAGTAAATTTTGACAGTCAATTTTATTGTGAATCAGGCCATACAAAAACGACAAAGCAAATATGTTTCGTCTTGTTGACAGTGAATCCAGATTGAAAAACTCTAATAGGGCACTATGGTCACAACCTCTTTCTGGATAAGAACCTGTGCATTTAAGCTGAAAATACTTCAAAGCTTTACGTTGAATGGCCTCAAGGATCACGACAGAATTTTGGTATATAGGAGACCAGATCAGACTTGCTCCTGACAAAAGTAAAAAATAAAGTCATTAATGTATCAACATTGGAGAAACCCTTCCAGTTTCTGATACAGAAACCAAGTAGTCGAGTGGCAGCCGACAAGATATTGAGTATATGCTCAGTAAACGTTAACTTGGTATCAAAAGTGACTCCAAGGTCTCTATAAGAGGTGCATCTGTCTATAACCTGACCATTGATGTTATAATTATCATAAATTAAATAGTTAACCTTTATTGTATAAGTCATAACTTTACATTTCGAAACATTCAGACTGAGACAGTTTCGTGAACACCATGATGAAATTAGAGCTAAGTCATCTTGCAACATGACGGAATCCTCGACTGACTTGACTGACATGCAGATTTTAAGGTCATCAGCGAAAAACAAATGGAAACACTTCAGTTCAAAAGACAAGTCATTAATATATATTAAAAACAATAATGGACCTAGAGTTGACCCTTGAGGTACCCCGGACGTGGCCCGATAGTAACTCGACCTATGACCACCATATTCGACAAATAACCTTCTATCCCTCAAATATGAATTCATGAGCGACATCATTGCATCAGACATACCCACTGTTTTAAGCTTATCCAGAAGTGCATAATGATCAACTTGATCAAACCCCTTCTGAATATCTGTGTAGATGACATCAACTTGTCCCTGACGGTCCAGTACTTCAGAAATGTACTGAGTAATTAGAGCCAAGTTGGTGACCGTAGATCTGCCTCTCATAAACCCATGCTGATTAATAGAGACTGCACCCCTGACCGAGCAGTAAACCGTTTCATAAGCGATGATCTCAAACAACTTGCTGAAATTGTACAGGATTGCTATTTGGCGATAGTTAGAAATATCAGAGATATCTCCACTTTTGTGAATAGGACATATTTTAGAGGTCTTCCAGATATTTGGATATGTCTCTGATTTTAGAATTAGGTTGAATATGGAAGCCAGCGGTTTCGCTAGTATATGAATGCAATCTTTAACGAAAAAACTTGGAATACCATCACATCCAGACGTCATTTTGTTCTTCAAACTTTTCGAAGCCCTAATTACGTTTTCTTCACTTATATTTTTTAAAGAAATGATATCGGTAGAATTATTTGTTGGAAGAGATGACCCTAGTAGACCAGACGGAATAAAAACTGTTGAAAAGAAGGTAGCAAAACTGTCCACTATATCCTGAGGCGTATCGCAGACATTGCCGTTAAGCGTCATCCTTGGGGGGATTCTAGATTGCTGTTTTTTGATCTGGCCAAATGACCAGAATTTGCTAGGATCATTGATAATGGCATCCTCAACCGATTGGACGTAAGCGGAGTAGGCAACACTGATCTGGTTCTTAATGAGCTTCCTAAAATTGCTGAACTGATCATAAGAAAACTTAGTACCTTCACGTTTCCAGTTCCTTCTTGCAATGTCCTTCTTCTTGATATTAAGTATAATTTCACGTGTGAACCATGGGGGATACGAAAACATTTTATTTTTACATTTAGGGACATGGACCTCAAATATGTTATTGATAACTGAATACAAGGCGGTACAAGCGACATCAACATTAACTGCACTGATCACCTCCGTCCAATTAACATCTTGCAAGGCTGCGTACATTTCAGGAAAGTTAGCTTTGCGAAAGTTAAACCGCGGAGAATTAGCAAATGGGAATTTCGTTAGAGATCCGGATGTAATGAATTTCATGATCAGTGCAGGATGATGAACGTCCTCTTTAACAGAAGGTTTATTATCTCTGAGGACTTCTATTTCGATATTTCCTAAAATTAAATCCAGTATTCGACCATTTATATTTGGAATATTATTAAAATTAGTTAAATCTAAAAAAGAAATACACATTTTACAAGAGCACTTGTATTCAAATGGTTTCTTTCAACAGACTAGCCAATTAGCTTTCTTATGTTCCATATGAATAGAAGTATTTTTCTTTAATTGTATACCAAAGCCATATTTATAATGGATGATATCTTAAAAATGACTTACTGCGTTGAGCCAAAAGTAGTACCTTTTTTACTTAAAAATTCTTTAGGTCATCTTGTAATATATTAAAAATATTAATGAAAGATTATTACAATCTTCATTTTGCACTACATGTCAAAAAGACAAAATATATAAAATTTTACATTATTTGGGTTTTTTGAAATTACTGCAAAATTCATAGAAAAATTACAATCTGTAAAATGAAGACAAACAATATTTTACCTAGCTTCATGTACTTTACTGTGGTTTCAGCTGTCACTTACTAGCGTATGCTGAGTTGATTATTTGACAATTATTTGACACCCTGAGACATTGCAATATTACAATTAACCAAAATAATATTTAACTTAGTAGTGTTAAAAACTGTAGACCAAAAAAAAAAAAAAACTGGCAACTCCACACAATCTACATCACTTCTGTCACTATTATTAAGCATTAAAAGTAATATGGAACTATTTAAATCGACTGGAAAAATTTGTAACAGCAAGACCCAGACGTTAATAATTTTGCAAGACTAAGACCAAGACCTTTGTTATCTTCCAAGACTAAGAGCAAGTCTTGGTACTGCAAGTTGAAATCATAATATCAACTTTACAAAACCCTTTAGAACTTTTAAATATGTTGTTAAATTACAGATCGTGTGTTTTTTTAAAAGTGCTTGGATGTACCTGTAGTGATCTCCTACTGGACCCACTGTTTGACCTAGACAACATTGGAGGTCTCCTCTTCGTCGCTCCTCGGCCGGCAAGCAGGTTATTGAGCAAGGAAGGACTCCTAGCGCAGATGAAGGCATGGAAGGAAGATACTGTGAACACTCCCAACTTGTTCAGGGTGTTTTTCGTTGCTCTGGACACATGGGTCAACAAGGACTGGAAATAAAAAGAAAATTGGCTTTTTAAATTATAACCATGTAGCGCCGCCGCACTAGCAAAACGTTGACCTAGCTGAAAATGCCTATATTTCCATATACTTCAAGTGGCTTCACATGTCTATACAGGGTGTCCGCAAAGTTGGGGTTTTCCTTTCCAGGCACAACTACGCTTGATATAACAAAGCTAATTAATGTGTGGTGAAACGTGAGCGAACAAGAAAAAAACAAATTAAAAAAGTACTCACTGTTCAGTTGAATTGAAATTCCAAGTGCGGCTCTGTCGTAAAATCCGTACTTTCATCGTAGTTTCTACGTCGCGTCGTGTAACTGTACGCTGGCGCTGTGGACTTGATCGAGGGATAGGACAGGACCGGCTTCGGTTTGGTTCAGGTTTGATTCAGTTTACGGAACCCAATATCTCGGTTCCCTTAGAACATTGGTGTATATGCTACTAAGAAAATCCGCTTATTTTCTCAAGATCTACCCGTCGTTTAAAGGAAAACCCCAACTTTGCGGACACCCTGTATAAACTATCCTCGGACTCCAGATTTAGCGGCCAGCTGATTTTCGGACTGAGTGAATTTTCGGTTCGTCATTCTACATTGTACCAAAACGATTCCTGAATAGTTTTCGCTTCAGTCAGAGTTTCAGTCGATATGCAATACAAAATTCCATGGTGTTCATTTAGATGTATTCCTAGACTGAAGACACCACATCTCTGAGGTATGTTAGAGATTAGGCTCAATTTTTAGTGGAATCCGGATAGTTGCGAGGTATATGAATGAAAAAAGTGTGAAAAGTATATATTATGCAAACTCTGAATCAGTGCTTAGGTATTAGTTTCTGGATTAGTAATAGTGCAGTGCATAGAATCTTTGTTATTCAAAAAAGTGTGCTTAGAATAGTATAAACATAGTTGAGAGGGTAATTTAAGATCCAACGGCTTGTTTGAAGTATATGGACTATACATATAGTATATGAATGTTTGATTTTTTTAGGAACAGAGATATGTTTGACCTACAAGTGTATCATACCTACAACACAAGAGACTTAAATGTAAACTATCCTAGGAATAGACTAACTTTAACTGAAAAGACTCCATACTACGCATGTCTGACATTTTTCAACTGCCTGCCAAACACTGTAAAATATAGTGTAAAAAACTATGTCCGAGACTTAATACCAGTATGTCTATTCATATCGCTGTTTCTCTTTGTATCTTATGTATATTTTTTGTAACTGTTACAAGAGCTGTTTTGCGATTATAATTATTAGAAATATAGCTTGTTTTTATTTTTATTTTATTTATTTTATGTTTGCGCCAAAGAAGTGTATGAGCAATCGTGACTGGGATGTTTAACGTGACGCCATGATGTCGAGCAACAGCATTATCGCATTTATTACCCAAACGTTTTATCCATTGCAATCGTCCTAACAGATCGTCGTCATTAAGTTTAGCGTCTATGTTACCCCAAATAAATAAAAAATACTCTTTTCCTATTCTGCTGTGAAAACGTAACACGTTCTCATTTGAAAACTAGAGATAGAGCTCCATTATCGTTCGAATATTTTCAATCGGAAGAGATTGTTTTTAAAATTTTAGTTAGTTTAGTTTAGTAGTTATTAACAGCTAAATACATTTTAGTATTTATGATGGCAGATAACTAGTTTGGTAATTAAAAAAAATACTCTTTTCCTATTCTGCTGTGAAAACGTAACACGTTCTCATTTGAAAACTAGAGATAGAGCTCCATTATCGTTTGAATATTTTCAATCGGAAGAGATTGTTTTTAAAATTTTAGTTAGTTTAGTTTAGTAGTTATTAACAGCTAAATACATTTTAGTATTTATGATGGCAGATAACTAGTTTGGTAATTAAAAAAAATACTCTTTTCCTATTCTGCTGTGAAAACGTAACACGTTCTCATTTGAAAACTAGAGATAGAGCTCCATTATCGTTTGAATATTTTCAATCGGAAGAGATTGTTTTTAAAATTTTTGTTAGTTTAGTTTAGTAGTTATTAACAGCTAAATACATTTTAGTATTTATGATGGGCAGATAACTAGTTTGCTAATTTCTTTACATTTTTCATATATTTCAATAGTAAGATTCTATAAAAATTCATCTTCTAGATACAAATTATAGTAAATAATAGTAAATCAATATTATGCGGCTATCGGCGTACTGAATTTAGAATGAGTTTATTTGCTATTTCTGTTTCTCTGATTATGTTTGCCCCATCAAACCCTTTCATTTGATACCCTTGATATGGGGGTGACTTAAAAAACTAGAAATCGCCATTTTGCGGCGGCCGCCATATTGGATCTAGAATGATGTTATCATGCGTGTTATTTTTCTCTCATAGAGCCTTTAAATTTGATACCTATATCACAGGGATGAATTCGGTAATTATAAACGCCATCTTGGGGAGGTCGCTATATTGGATTTAGCATTACGTCACTTAGCTTATTGCTTTCCTCTCATCAAGCACTTTCATTTGATACCTATGTCATGAGGCTGACTATGAAAAACGTAAATCACTGCCACTGCCATATTGGAATTAGAATGACGTCACTCGCTTATTGTGTTTCTCTCTTATCAACTTCTTTCAATTTATTTGTATTGACACGTGAATAAAATATATATACAAAATTCTGGCTCAATTACACACACACTAATACTAACTATCATACTAACAAACAGACCAAGTTAAATAAAAGCTCATCCGTTAAACCCGTGACACTTTATCGAATTTGTCTAACATGTTTTAGTGCAATTTAGTGACTCCAAATGCTATAATGATTGTCGCTATGCACACGGCACTAGAAGCGCCACGTGTTTAGCGTTACTTGTAACATCTTTTACGGAAGATTTGAAATTACAATAAGCTCAAAGTGGCAAGTAATAAATATAATTTAATCATTACAGTACTTTCCCGCTTAATATCCTCACGATACGGTCAGTAAGCTCAATAATAAACTCGCTAATTAGATCATCTCATGAATTTCCAACTTTCTTAGTCTGCTGTGCCTATCTCGAGTCTCATGTATGATAATCACATCATTAATGTCTCTATCTTTGCCCTCATTAATCATTGAGGCTTGACTCAATATTTAATTGGGCCTCCTAATTAGGATAGGGATATCCAAATTGATGGGGTGTACATATGCTGTTGTCAAGTTAATTCTCTATTGGTTAATGATTGACAGGGTGTGCCTGAAAACATCTTTCATTTATGAAAAAGGAGCTATAATAGGTAGATAATTCCAGATTTAAAGCTAAATTAATTCTGACAATTTTTGGGAAAAACATGCTGGTTTATATTATGAAAATGTATGTGTGTAGTGTTTTTAGGTACAAGAAATCTGTTTTCGGTACATTTGCAAAATGTTTCGGAAGACCGTGAGTAGATGGTGAACGAAAAAACAAAAACTTGTCGGTGACCATTCGATTTTGGAAGTTGAAGGGTGGGGGACGGTAGCATCGGATGCTGGAAGCATAAAATGATGTAACGCTATTTGAAGAGTTTGAAATATATATATTATATACAAAGTGACATATAAATCCGAATACCCAGTTTAAATGGTTTTATTTTAATAAAAGTTGGTGAATGTATTTATCTTACTGTCAATAACAAGTGAACAAATTGTCAGCCTTATCAGTTGGACATTCCGGTTTTTATACTGCTTTTTTTTAATTCACTAAGGCTCTAAAAATGAATATTTCAGCCGCAGTAAAGAATCAATGTTGGCGGATTTTGGTTCTTGACATCCTTTACGATCGGTTACGATGCCTAGAGTACGGAGACCTGTACGATTTCGTCAACTTAGTGAGTTTGATAGGGGCCGTATAGTGGGACTTCGGGAAGCTGGACTTTCTTTTCGGGCAATTGCAGTTAGAGTGCAAAGAAGTGTAGACACTGTGGTTAGGTGTTATCAGACCGTGAAGATCGCCTCCTAAGATTATTGGCCTTAAGGGACCGTTTCTCCACTACCAGGTCCATTGCAAATGAATGGTTTGCAGAACACGGAAGACCTATTGGCATGCGAAGTGTTTACCGACGAATGAGAAGTTTTGGCTTGTTTTCATAACGGCCACACTGGGTCCTCCCTTTAACTCGAGAACACCGACGTAATCGCCTTGAGTGGCGCAGACAACGGTCACTCTGGGATCAGGAATGGAACAGTATTGTCTTTAGTGACGAGTCTCGATTTTGTTTAGGCATGCACGATGGTCGTGCCAGGGTTAGAAGGCGACGTGATGAAAGGAGGAATCCACAGTTTTTTGTTGAAAGACATGTTCATCACACTGTTGGAGTTATGGTTTGGGGTGCTATAGCTTATGGTTCCAGGTCACCTTTAATCTTCATCAGAGGTAACATGAACGCGCAGCGTTATATCCACGAAGTTCTAGAACCCCATCTTTTACCCTATCTTGACACCATGGCAGATCCAACTTTCCAACAAGATAATGGCCGACCACATGTTGCAAGAGTCACAATAGACTTCTTTCAACATAATGATGTCACATTGTTACCATGGCCACCAAGATCTCCCGACTTATCCCCAATTGAGCACGTGTGGGATATGATGGGTAGGAGATTGCTCAATTTGCAACGTCCTCCTCAGACTCTAGAAGCACTTCGAGAGGAGTTGGTGGTTGCCTGGAATGAGATACCACAGGAGGACATTGACCACCTGATCAGAAGCATGCCTAGGCGCGTTGGAGAATGCGTAGCACATCAGGGTGCATCCACACATTATTAAAGGTCAAAGGGCTTTAAAGCAGTGCAATCATTTTGAAACTTTTATCATTTACTTATTATGCTTCATTAAGTACTTATACAAAATTTTATTAAAATAAAACCATTTAAACTGGGTGTTCGGATTTATATGTCATTTAGTATAAATAAAACTACTGCAACCAAATTTCACATTAAAAAAAATATTCCTTCAGTCAACGACAGCTTCAAATAATCAACTTGGTATGTAGTTGGTAGACAGAGTTAAGCTCCTCGGTAGCTGGTTTGATGCAGATATGACTTTTGATAAACAGATAAACAATATTTGCTGCCATTCAATCAAAACATTTTTTGCATTATTTCATATATTAAGATGAAAAATCTCTATTGTCTCTTTACTATGCATTTGTATATAGCCACCTGTCATATAATGTTGTATGCTGAAACAGAGACTTCGTTTCACAAAAACGGATCATCAGACTGTTATTAATTTAATCTCACTTTCAGAGAAACTTGCAGGCATGCTTTTAACAACAACAAACTGCTCACTGTACCTTGTATTTTTATATATATATATAAATCATGTTAAACGTAGCATTAACAACTTCGAGATGCAAAATAAACAGTATGACCATAATACAAGAATCATCAAGTTAAAATCAAATCGTTTTAGGACTCTAGGTTACATTAGATCCCCGCAAAATAATGTAGCAATATACTTAGAGATTTAAGGAATATTATCATCTGATGTAGTTTTAAATGAATGGTTTCCAATTATCTAACTGATATATGTTATTATTGTATTAACGAATTTATAAATTGTGAATGTTGATACCATTAAAAATGTTTCTTTTTAAACATTATTTTTTACATAATTTTTAATTTTGTCAGTTATTTTAATGTGCTATACAGGGTTATCCAAATTAAGTGTCCACCATTAGTAACTTTGTTATTAGTGAAAATACAAAGTTGTTTGAATTAGCAAACTAGTAGCATTTTTAACGCTGGTAAAAATGAGAAATAAAAAAAAACAATTGAGAGTCGTTATTTTGATTTTTTTCAGTAAAATAACATTTTTTTAAATGGAAACCCCTGTATATTATATTTTTTTCTGTTAAAGCATCAAATTTTAAACAAAAAAGCTTACAATAACTTTTCTCCTAGGTTACAAATTGTTGAAGTTATGGCCTCCAATCTGAAACAATTAAATTGTATCGACAAACTTTATTTTCAACATCAACTTATAATCTTACAAAATACAATAACAATTTTTTTTAAAGAAGATGCTCGAAAACACCACCTTGTTCTTCAATACATTTTTGGGCACGTTTTTCAACTGCTCGAACTGTCTTAAGTATGGTCCTACCATCTATCTGGGTTATCTTTTCCCTAACTGCAGTCTTTAACGCGTCAAGGTTATCGTACCTTCGCTTGTAAATTTGGTTCTTTAAGTAACCCCACAAGAAGTAATCAAGTGGGTTTAGATCTGGTGATCTGGGAGGCCACTGTATTGGGCCATTTGTTCCTATCCACTGATCATTAAAAGTAGTACTTAGAAAATGATAAGTACCTCTGGAGTTGTGGGCAGGTGCGCCATCTTGCTGAAAATGCAGATGATGTCTACTTATAAGATCCAATTCGTCTAAGAAATTAGTCAGAATTTCTGACATAAATTCCACATATCTTTCACCAGTTAGGGTTCCCTCATAAAAGAACGGGCCAACAATTTTTGAACCAATTATACCGCACCAAACGTTGAAACTGAAACGGACTTGTGGGCCTCTTGGATGTACTAACAAAAGATTTTCTCTTGACCAATAATGGTGGTTTTTTCTATTAAACATTCCAGAATTTGAAAAATTTGATTCATCTGTCCATAAAAGGTAACGAAAGTTATTTACATTTTGGCGACAGAAGCTAAGATACCAATGGCAAAAAACAAGTCTTCTCTCTGGATCCCCTGCCAAAAGCGTTTGAACTGGTCGGTACTTATACGGAATAAATTTGTATTTTTTTAAAATCCTTTGAACAGTACCATAACTGAAATTAGAGTCCTTGAGAATATCTGCTATTGAATTCTCACGATAAGCTTCAAAATATCCAATAACTGCAATTTCCGTGGCCTCGCTTATTATGAATTCTTTTTTGCCCTTGTTTTAGCAAAAACATTTTCGTTGCCCCTAAATTTTCGATAAAGTCTCAGAAAATATCGTTCATACGGTTGAATGCGAGCGGGATATAATTCACTGTAGTATTCTCTTGCTCTCAAGGAGGATTTTCTGCACACTAAATAGCATTCTAACATATCACACTTTTCTTCATGGGAGAACATTTTTCTTTAAATTAATGACACAATAAAGCTTATAAACAATATTTACACTAATGTTTGACATTATTTGATTTTATCATTGTTTTCCAAAGCCTTCTAGCTGCGAGTATGTCCAGTTTAACAATTTGTCGCTTATCTTAATGCTGTCAAATCGCGAACGCCATGTTGTTTTCATAGCCGTCTTAATATTATAATACTGCAAATAATTAAAAATATTTATCGTTATTTTGACTTTATTTTTGACTTTAGCGGAAAAGTCATTATGAACTTTTTTGTTTAAAATTTGATGCTTTAACAGAAAAAAATATAATGTACAGGGGTTTCCATTTAAAAAAATGTTATTTTACTGAAAAAAATCAAAATAACGACTCTCAATTGTTTTTTTTTTATTTCTCATTTTTACCAGCGTTAAAAATGCTACTAGTTTGCTAATTCAAACAACTTTGTATTTTCACTAATAACAAAGTTACTAATGGAGGACACTTAATTTGGATAACCCTGTATACATACAATTTCAAATTTCAAATCATTATTGCATATTTTATATATTTATCTTTGGATAACACATTTGTTCATCTTAATTTTTTTGTGACTTGAATGTTTGCACTTTGGCTGAATAAAATATTACTACTACTACTACTATCAATGTATAAAGAGAGCCAAACCTCTAAGTCTTTTGATGCTACTTCTGAACTGATTCTTAGCTCATAGCAAAGTTAGTTAACCAATTAAGGCGCAATTGCGTTTTATTTCAAATTCGAAGATAGCGTTATTTTTTTTGGAATATTTATGTTCAGTGACAATCTTTTTGAATAACAGATATATTTTTTTAAGATGTAAGCTTACTTTTGGATTAGGAAGTTCCCCACTTTGTAAGCTTGCCATGTAGCACCTCAGCCTGAACTGTTCGCAATGAAGTCTTTCCAGGTTTTCTTCCCATTGGATCACTTGATTGCCTATTTGCTGCCTTGTTTCATTGTCCATTACTACTGATTGCTGCATTTCTGCCATGTGTTTCAGCTTGTAGTCCTGTAACAAGAAAAAGTGTCTTATAGGCACTCGAGACCATGAAAAAAGGTATTAACATGTGTATCAGTGGCTCTGTGGAATCGGGGCTCCCAAAGAAGCGCCATTGCAGGCTGTGGATACTTAGTATTCTGACCATATGACATTGGTGCGGTGCGACATATGTGTCCCTGGCGCAAAACATCGAGCGGTTATGAACTGGAGTTTCTCTGTCACGGGGGAAACCATTTTGTCTGTCTCCAAGACTAGACCCAAGACCGGATGAGTTTGAGTTGCCAACGAACAGGAAACAGCGCTGTAGTTGGTCATGGCTACAGAGACGGAAAGCAAACATGTCAATTTAAAACCAATCGATTTTTTTTTTCAGGTTAAAAGATAACCTAACCGAGAGTGGTCTTGGCTATGACGTAAGGAAATCTGTTCAGCTGTTTGTACATAGCGTGGTTTTTAGAGCAAATATTGAGGAAGCACCTTGAGCTTTTTGAGGCGCTAAGCTTACTACATAAACAATCCGGTAGCGATCGTTCTCACAGAAACCAACTGGGACCTCAACCCGAACATAACTGCGTTCACGCTAAAGAGATGGCGACCAAGTTAGTTGCACTGATGTTGCTAGTAGATTTGGAATTGTTGGAAGATGTCATCCGTGGATATCACACCCCAGCTAACGATTTTAAAAATATTATGTGAGTTTCTCCGAAAAATGCCACATTGAAACTAGCTATGATTCACTTTATTTTCGTTGGTTACTGTTACCTAAGCATATTGTCGCTTGAACTTAATGGTTTGACTCTGATGCGAGGTAACATCTGCTTCAGAGACTGTGGGCTATGCATAGCTTCTATGGTCTACGCTGTATGTTCTACGAGCCGCTTCCCACTTCAGTTGGCCCACTTCAAGATTTGTACCAAAATATGCCTTTATAAACTAACATGAATCTATTTACTTCTAAAACAATTTATTTTCTCAAAAACATTTTAGATACACCCTAGTCGTAAAAAATACATATTTGATATCACTTAGACCTATAACTAATAGAACACCTGAACAAATAAACAATGTGCCAATAAATGCGAGAAGTTAACAAAGCAACAATTGAAAGATTACCATTGAGTAACATCACCTTTATTTTTTATTACGACTGAAATTCTTTGGGGCATAGTGTTAACCAAGTTTTGGCAAAAATTTGGTGTAAAACAATCCCATATTTCTTGAAGCTTTTGTCTCAGTCCGGTGATTGTACGAGCAGGATGTTGTCGTAGAACGTTTTTCATCTCGTGCCACAGAGTTTCAATAGGTGACAAATCTTGACTGCTAGAAACCCATTTCAAAAGTGGTACATTATTTTCTTCCATCCATTTTATAGCCTTTTTTGAGGTATGGCACGCTGCACCATCTTGCTGAAACAGAAAATCTTGGCCGGATGTCAAACATTCTTCCATCACTGGTAAAAGTGATTCTTCTAAAATTGCCAAATATTTGTTTGTATCCACATTTCCATCAATAAAATGAAGTTTTCCTACTCCTTTTGATGACATACTGCCCCAGACCATAATGGATGCTGGAAGTTTCACTTTTCTCTTCAGACAGTCAACATGGAATGCTTCATTTTTTTGTGAATAACTCTACTGCGACTGTCACCAACACAAACTTCGAATCGGGCCTCATCACTCCATTGTATTGCACACCATTGTTGAGGTGTCCATTGTCTGTGTTCTTTAGCCCATCTAAGCCCATTTTGTTTTATAAGAAAACTTACCTTGCAAGTGCTAAATCCCAGTTTGTGGGCCTCTTTATGAGTTGTGGACCTCGAAATTTTTCTTCCAACAGCGTCTCTCCACAGAGCACTTAATTGTAAAAAATTTTTGGTACGACATTTTGGTTCGACATAGAGCCTCACCCTCCCCCCTACTCCAGCGGCCAGCGCCCCCCCCTCCCCCCCCCCTTCGATAGTGATTACCCCCCATTTGAGCTCAAAAATACCCTTATCTCAATTTCATCCCCCGGGGGTGAATTTTTCTTAATTTTTTTCTCTCTTATTATTACTCCTAAAATTTTTCTGTTGACGCCTAAATTCATCAAAAAATTCAAACTTTTAGATATATCTATTACGTGTCTTATTCTATGAGTACTTACATTCCTACAATTTGTTTTCCTTTTTTTGCTCTTTTTTGTAAACTTTTCTATTTAACATTTTCACTATTATAAAGACATTCTACTTCGACATACTTTTAACGACTTAAACATCTCAACCCCTATACTTTATTTTTTACTACCCCTCTCATCCCCCGAGCTCACTACTCTTCTCTAATTATGTTTTTATATCTCTTCACGATACCAGTACTTGTTCCCATTAAATTTGATGAACTGCCTCCTCTCCGAACGCTGCACTAATTTAAACACATATTTCCATGGTCATACCTTCTACCACTCACGACTTCAAGGTCACATTTCATGGTCATATTTCAAGGTTATATTTCAAGGCCATATTTCGATTCAAGGTCACATTTCAAGGCTATATTTCAAGGTAATATTTCAAGGTTATATTTCAAGGCTATATTTCGATTCAAGGTCGCATTTCAAGGCTATATTTCAAGGTTGCATTTCAAGGTCATATTTCAAGGCCATGTTTCAAGGTTACATTTCAAGGTCACATTTCGAGGTTAAATATGCGTTCAAGGTTGGCTCCCAAGGTCGACTCTCAAGGGCGTTCTAGAACAGACAAACCCTACCTACTTGGCACGCCTGTTTTTCTTCTTATTCTTCTTAATGCTCTTCGGTCGGCATTTGTAATATTACTTTTTTTCACATATCGAGGCTTAATATTAACTGAACCAGTTACGTTATATCTTCTAACAATATTTCTCACGCTGTACCGCGAAAAGTCTAACAAAGTTGCAATTTCTGAGTTTGATTTCACAGAATTAAAAAATTTAATTATCAGTAACCGAATTTTCTCACTAATCACCTTTCCTCTACCCATTTTGAAAACCTTAACGACCCAAAACTATTTTAAATGTATTCTGACAGCTGTGATTAATAAAAACAATTGTCATCGCTTTTATTTTTCACAGCCACCTATGCGTTACAGACTTATTTTGCACTGAAATGAAAATAGGTTGATATGCTGTAATTGCAACATGTGTTATTTTTATGCTGCAAATTTGATTAGGGAGTGATAAAGTTGGGGTTTTCTACTTTACATTATCAAAATATTCATTGTTAATATTTTAAACCTATAATACCCCGCTACATTTTTATTATTTGTGTTTGATAAGAAAAAAACTAAGATTTCAATAGTTGGGCCAACTGAAGTGGGAAGGGGCTCGTATATTATTGCCGAAATGATGGTCGTTGTGTCATTCCTGCATAGGTAGCTCTCGTAGCGAGTAAGTGCGGAATGGGCTAGCGATTACTCAGTACACAAGTTGACATTATACCGATTTTCAACGACAATATATCGATATTTTAGCTAATACCCTGTATCCTCAAAAAATCATTGGTAGTATATAAAAATACTTTTTCATCGCATTTTCGTGATCTTTATAGTGATTCACTAGAACAGCAGTGTTGAAAATCTTCCAGGAAGCTACAGTCTATAACTTGTAAGCTACCGCTTGGATTTTGATGAAATTTTCACACAAGGCTACCACTGTGCCAATATTTGCATTGGTGCATAGGTGCTCTCTAATTAATATACTAAAATGAGGTGGAGCGCCGTCGTGCATAAACCACATATTCATGTATATGAGTGTTTGTAATGAAAGATCTTCCAGCAGAGTGGGTAATTGTTTTTCAAGAAATTGTTAATACCTTTGTCCATTTAGTCTAGGTGGTAATTCAACGGGTCCTATTTAATATTGTAAGTTATTCCTGCCCATAAACTAATTTGAAATTGTACTTGGTGGCGGGTTTGTATTATTGCATAAGGAGTTTCGTCAGCATAAATGTGAAGATTATGCGAGTTAATGGGCCCATTCCAACTCCTGCTGCGTCTGAAAATAATATTAACGAAGTAAAACCATTGTCGTGGTTAAACTTCCTTAAGAGCAATGTACAAAATTCTACCCTTGCGGGTTCATCATCCGCGCTTAAACCATGTAGTCTTTTCAGGTGGTGTGCAGTTGCTCTCGAAAAATGGTATTTACAGTACATTTGGAAACTTGAAATTCTCGAGCTACATTTCTAATCCCAACTGTAGGATTTTCAAAGACATCATCTAAAACATTTTCTTCAACTTCAGCGTACCTACAGTTCTGGGAGCTCCACTATGTCGGCCCATATTTTGAGCAAAACTACCTAAAATCCAAATGGTTTTTACTGCTTAAAATAAGACTATAATCATTTCTTACCAGTTCCTTGTAACCGCTGATCAAATCGTTGTCTTTGAATTATGCAGGTGTCTATTAGGGAATCTGTCAGCGAACAATCTTCGTGCTTTTAAAGCATTACATCTTGCCAATCCATACATTAAATGCATATTAGAATATTCAACAAACGTATACTCCATGGTGTTTAATAACATATTGTCAACTTAAAATTATTCATGAAGTTTAAAGCAATTTTATGACAAACATTAGAAACCATAACAATGCTACTCAGATATTATCCAAAGCAACTTGATTATTATGCACAAAACAAATATCTCGAAAACTATTAGCTTCAGACACTTCTAACAAATAAATCTTTTTTGTTGTGGAAAATACGAGTAAAATAAGATTTTTTGGTCAGTTTTTGATTACAGGGTAGCACAAAAAGTTATAAGTTATATACCGACATAGTTCTGTAAGTGGCGCCCTCTAGAAGTTTGGCGATAAAAAATAATGAATTCTTGTATCTCATACAAGAAAACCTCCCTATACCGAGTTTTATGCCAAAATCTGAAATACTTTTGAAGCAATAACGAAAAATAGAAAATAAAATTGAAACTTTGACACCCTGTATCTTGCACACTATCAAATTTTGGACTGAGGTGAGGTCAATTCACATATTTTGGTCTGTAG